CCAAAGATGTTCATTCCGCAGTTTGGAAGATATTGAACTTTGGTAAGGTGTAGGGTGTGAATGCCTCCATCATCTGTTGCGCATTGCAATGTTCTTTCGCCTTGGCCAAGTGGCTTGGTAATGCCACTTGCTGTGTCAATGGATGGAAGAGTCAATGAGGTTTCGTATGAGCCACTGTTGAATTCCTCGATTGAGCTGGCGATATGTGTCTCTGCTCCAGTGTCAAATAATGTGCCATTTTGAATTGGCGACCTTGAGTGGTTGAGTTGAACACAAATGTATGTGGTGGCGTTCTTGCCAAATTGACGATATTCATCTTCTTCATCTGATGAGTTGTCATTCTTTGCCTTCTTTAGCTTGTTTGATTTGCTACTTGAGTTTGACGGTTTAAATGGCATGAACTTCTTTCCAGTCCGTTGTTCCCATTCGTGACGGAGCTTCTTGTTTGTAACGAAGCAGTTTTCGGGTTCATGCCTTGCGTTTGGATTTTCGCAGTTCTTGCACATCTTTCCACTCTTCCCTTTTGCACTGTCTTTGAATTTCGAATTTGGTTTGCCCTTCGTAGGTGGTTTGCCATTGTAGTGTATGCTTCCATCTGCTTTCTTGTCCTTCTTGCGAGCTTCATCCGTAATATCCTCAATAAGCGCGGAGAGTGTGAGCTTTGTTACTTCACTACGGGTATTCGAGCGCTGGCGTTCTGCCCAGATTGGCCATGCATCTGAAAGTGCCATGATGAAGAGAATTGGATGCCACGCATCTGGTGGAGAGATCTCGAGGTTGGCGAGCTTCTCAATTGCTTTCTTGAACCCAATGATGAATTGTTCAAGGTTTGCATAGTCTTCGTACTTGATCTTGGTGTATGTTTCAATTGCATTGAAGTTGAGAACTGCGCCAGTTCCTTCATATTGAGACTGTAAGATCACCCACATTTCGCATGCTGACTTGCAACCTGCAAGCAGCTGTGATGGTGTTTTCTTCACATTAGTTTGGATGATGAGTTTCATCGATGCGTCTCCTGCTTTCCACGCTTTCCATGTGGCGAGTTTCTCAATGTCCACCTTCTCATCGAACTCATCTGCTTGTGGAGGAGCTTTGCCTTTTGGGTGTACGAAACGGACAAGGTCGTTGGCATCCGCGAGGTCCTCCATCGCAGTTTTCCATTGTATGTAATTCTCCTCTCCTCGGAGTTTCATGTTCTCTGGGAGGTTATTCCGACCTCCATTGCCTTCACCCATTGTGAAAGGTCTTGTGTGTTTGGATAAGGAATTTCGAGTTTGTGAGAGTTGGATGATGGATGATGAATTCGATCTGGGGCTTCCTAGATTGTAGAATTGATCTTCTTCTTCCTCTTCTTGCTGAGTTGAATCGATCATCTGCTAGAGGCTGCAAGTTCGTCTTGAGGTTTTCGTGGAGTGTATGTGCTGTATGTTAGCGCTTGTCCACGAATTCAGATTGTATGTGCTGTAATGAGCACTTCTCTGAATATGGTAACTTTTTTGGCTTTTGCGATAGCCGGGCTCATAACCTGTTGAGATCAGTGGTGTATCTGTATCTGCAGCGGCATAGTTATCACGTTGAGTTGAACAACAGTTCACTTGAATATATGTTTTTTGTATTGTTGTTGTTCTGAGTGAAGCTATCTATGGAACTATTTGTGGGTGGTCCGCAACCCGATTCGGTTGGCGAGCCCATCCTCTTGAAGTCTTCTTGGGCTTCGAGGAAGTCATCTTGAAGTTCATCTCTCTTCTCAGACTCATCTGCTAAGGTTGTTTTCTCATTTATAGACTCATAGTCTTCTGGGTTTCGGTCAGCCATCTTGGCTTTTTCTTTGGCCATGTGTGCCACAGCAGCTTTGCTTTCTTTCAGTTTTCGTATTCAATAGATCAGACTCATATCGCCAAAGGCTCTATTGCACAGTTTGTCTACTGTAGGAGCCACTTGAGAGGAGCGCACTTCCCTCACAATATTCCTTGTTAAGGGAGCGTTGTGAAAGGTATGACTACCGCAGGAGCCAATTTGAGGTTTCTACCTATATAAGGACCTGGAATCAACTTCAGGATATAGTTCTGGGGTTTCTAAAGAAGGGAATTCGAATTTTAGTATCAAGGTTCAGGTTCAGAGAGCAAAAGAAAGGTGAGATTCAATCTTATGTTACGATGGTCATGAAAGTCATGGTGCCAGTCTGGGTAAAGTAAGCTAGATTGAATCTAAAGAGAGAAGAAGAAGAAGAAGGAAGGAAGGTGAGGCTATTCCTCGTAATATACAGTTGTCTGCTTAGCGGTTGTAGCCTTGGTGGCCAAGGCTGCACCCATAATCCCATATATACCTATAACAACTGTAATTACTGTAACAAGCTGTGAGCTGTAATCGTAACGTATAGTACCTAATAACCCAAGTCTCTGCCTATCCCTCTTCCCTAGCCTATCCTATCTATAGTATGACCGCGCTCGCTACCTGCTACCTACGCACCATCGCTATGGTGGTGTTGACTGCTTACGCACCCTTATGGTGTTGAATCTGGCTTTCCTAGCTCTTACGTTCAAAGTAGTCGCTTGCTTAGTGTGCCCTGCACTCGTCTTGTAATCGGTGCTGCTTCCGCTATGTGATGGTACTCGGTGTTCCACCCACTCGCTTCGCTCGTAGGTGGCGACAGCAAGTTGTGCGTGCGACAGCAAGATGTGCGTACACCGCTATTTTGATATATAGAAAAAATAATAGTATTCTTCATAACGTAGTATCTACAATGCCTCAAAATAACGATCCTACTATGATTGCTCGCCTTAATGAGGCCCAACAGTTCTTCTTAAAACAACCAAGTACATATACAATTGCTTGGGTTGCAAATAAATTCAATGTCAACCGTGAGACACTCCGACGTCGTATTACGAGTACTACGTCTCCTCAATTACCCCACGGAGGTAGCAATCGAGTCTTATCTCAATCGCAAGAGACCGCGGTCTGTCAATTCATATACGACCAACTTGAGCGCGGGGTCCCTGCCAACCGATCTATGATACTACGGGCAGTTGCAGACTTACGACCTAATCGTACGATACCATCACAACGGTGGCTACAACGCTTTCTAAAAGCACACCCCGAATTTCATACAATTCACACGAAGACGTTAAATACACATCGGAAGCAAGCACAAAAGAAAGAGGTGTTTGAGGAATTCTTTCTCACATATAACGCCCTTATTACAAAACATAACATTAAGCCATATAATTTATGGAATGTTGATGAGACAGGCTATATGATTGGGTGTTATAAGTCTACGGCTGTTATTGTACCAATCGGTGTAAAGCAGTGGACTGTTGATAATCCTGAGAATCGGCTCTCTGTTACTGTAATTGAGGCAGTAAATGCAAGTGGTGCTGCACTTGCAGAAGCTATCATTATCCCTGGCAAACTTCATATGGATTCATGGTACAATGATGACCTTGAGCCAAATGCTCTCATTATTGTAAATGAGAGCGGGTATTCAAACGACGACATTGCAATCCAATACCTTATGCATTTTATCCAACTATCTGCAGAGCATATGGCACCAGATGATACTCGCCTCTTATTACTTGACGGCCATGACTCTCATAAAACAGAGCGCTTTCTTACATTAGCAGAAGAGCATAACATTGTTATTTGCTGCCTTCCTGCTCATACAACACATCTATTACAACCTCTTGATGTAGCGGTTTTTAAGCAGTGCAAACACTTTCATCAAAAGGCACTTGATCAAGCAGTACGTAGCTACGACTATGAGTATAAGCTACGTACGTTCCTTTCAGACCTCCCGCAAATCCGACGGCAATCTCTAACTGTCCGTACAATTCAATCTGGTTGGAGAAATACAGGACTATATCCATATAATCCTCCACTTGTAATTGACAAGATACAAGAGACTCGGAATCAAACACCTGATTATGAGCCATTTGCTTCATATAATATTATCTCAACACCGAAAACAACTATGCAAAGTGTGCAAGCGGTTGAACATTGGCAGAAGAGAGCAGAGGAAGCTTTCTCATCGCCTTCAAGAGAAGGGTTTCAATCATTTGCACGTGGAACTACAGTTGTTCTACACCGGGCAGAGCTCTATAAGACCGAGCTAGATATTATGACTCTACGTGCAGTAGAGCAGAAGGCAGCAAAGGCAAGGGCACGGAAATCACTACAGAAAGGAGGGCAGTTATATGCATCAGATGCACGGAAAATGCGGGAAGAGAAGAAAGCAAAGTTGCAAGCAAAAGCAGACGCAAGAGCAGCAAGGGAATCGGACCAAGTAGTAAAGCAGCTACAAGCGCAAGCACGTAAAATCGAAATTGAAGAGCGTAAGGTTGAGAGGAAGCGGGTAGCAGAGCGGAAGAAGGAAGGGTTGAAATCAAAAGTGATCATTTTACGGTATAGTAAGGATCAAAGTGATAGTAGCAATAGTGGCAGTAGCGATAGTGATAGTAGTTCTATTGATTTTATGTTTTAATTATATAGTTATATAGTTGATATATAAGGCGTCTTTTTCTTCGTTTTATGTGTCGCACATCTTGCTGTCGCACGCACAACTTGCTGTCGCCACCTACGAGCGAAGCGAGTGGGTGGAACACCGAGTAGTTGTAAGGAGGCTTTCCGTGACAGCGAATTCTTCGCTCGATCGTACAACATAGCTACTCTCTCCTACGAGAGCTATGAGGGAAGCCGTTAATTATGTGCATTTAGCGTAGCGCATCATGTGCTTAACCTAGGCTCATAACCTGTTGAACACATAATTAGAGTTTGACGACTTGATTGAGAAACTACGGGGGGCGAAGCCCCTATATATACACAGTTGGTATACAGGCTTCGCATGTGCAGCGTACCGTAGTTTCAAAAACAATTCTTGCTCCAGTGCCGACTAACTTGATGTTGTCACCGTCGCTTACCTAATCTCACACTTCTAGTCTAGCCATAAAAAGGCGGTGGCAGTTGGCAGACTACGCCAAGACTTGATCGATATGCAACCTTTGGGGCATACGGCTTCATGAACGGCCATTTACGCCGCCGCACTATTGGTCCCAACTTACAATACCCTGGCCCAGCTGCTAGAGAAACTATGGCTTCGAGCAACTAAATGCTTGCGATTTTGACTAGACTTTAACGTCAGCCTCCGATTCCACGACTTCTCCTCTTGGACACCAGCCTTTCACAGGCGGCCGAACAAGACTATTGTTCTACATTCCCATTGCGGCCTTTAATTTATATTATTGAATGAGACGTGTTATATTTTTTCTTGGATGAGTGAGTGAGAATTACAGGGGAAGAATGGCCTTCGCGATTGATGATGATGATAGAGGTATACCTTGCCTGGTAGCGCGCCGGAGAGCTTGAATGCTGACTTCTTGTAGCGTCCGGAGCCAGCTCGGATAACGACCAAGATGAATTGATGGAGGATATTGGGTCGCCTGCGATTGACGACATGGAGGCGGATGTAGATGGCGACGGGGATGCGCTAGGCGAACAGGAAGACGAGGACGAGGACGACGATAATGATGATGATGATCAAGAAGAGACGCAAGACCAACGCCAGGAATCACCAAAGTTACTGCAATCGCAGCCGGAACAAGCCAGCCTTCCCAATACAGACGAGAGCTCAGACGACCTACCCAATGGACAATTATATACAAACGGGGCAACAGACCCAACTTCACATGTGCGGTCAAGTGAGATCCCGGCCACTGGTTCTCCGAGGCGGACATCGATACCGCCGTTACCAAACCTACGCCCGTCTATCCGCCCTGAAGCGCTCACAGCATCTCTCTATGACATTGTCCCAACAATGGCAGCCCCACAAGCCACCTCGATCAACGCGATTACGGCCACTCCGGATATGCGCTATTGGTTTAGTGGAGGTTCTGACTGCTACGTTAGGAAATATGATGGGGCTGCCACTGTCAACGGGAAGACGCTTTTGACAGTCGCACAGCGTCACCCGTTTGTGGACACAGTGACAAAGGCAGGCGTACTCATGAGCTATTGGGAGAACGAAGAGCCTATCTCGAAACCAGGCGACGAACCAGCATTGTCACCAGTATACTCTCTGGCCGTCCAATCAGAAGCTCTCTGGCTGCTGTCTGGCCTCGAATCGGGGTGCATTAATCTGCAGTCTGTGCGGCATGACGAGGGAAAGAGAATAGCATTCCTCCAGAAGCACACGTCTGCCGTATCGGTATTAAGTCTTTCGTCGGACGAGAAATCTGTTCTATCGGGAAGCTGGGATAAGAATATCTTGGACTGGGACCTGAATACAGGGCAAGCCAGGCGAGCTTTTACTGGGAGCGGCGGTCAAATCTCAGCAATCGAAATCCGCCCTGCATCCAGTCTGCCAGTTCCCGAAGAGTCTGGCGAGCCTGTTGCATTCAGTTCAACATTCTCCAGTAACAATGCCGATAAGCCCACAACAAACGGTTTCATACCAAATGGCGTGGTTACGAATGGAGCTACCATTGCCATTGATGGCCAAGGGGACGCGGCTGGTTCGCCGGTTGAGACGAACTCACTCTTTGGCGATACGGATTCATTATTCGGTGATGGTGACGCAGGTGGTGCGCCGTCGGGAGGAAACTTTGCAGCAGACGACGATGATGAGTTTAGCAAGGCCATTGGAGGTATTGACCAGCAGGATCAACATGATCAACTTGTCAGTCAAGCTGGTACGGCGATGGAAGACGCGGCAAGACCTGGAGGAGACCAAAGTTCAGTGCCACCTCCCCCAGCTGAGGCTGAACCGGAGTCGTTTGCTATAGAACCGCTAAAAGAAGAGCAACCTGCCAGCCCTCGTCAACTTACCAATGGTCTGCCACATGCGGAAGAACTAGTCGAAGCTGCAGAAACCTCTGAAGCCGTGCCATCAACCCAGGATGCTGTTGCCACATCGGATTCAACTTTTCTGGCTGCTGCCATCGACGGCACTCTACGGGTTTGGGATCGACGAATGCCAAACCCAGTTGCGAAGATCCCGAACAGACAAGGTGTGCCACCATGGTGCATGGCTGCATGCTGGAGTCCAGATGGGAATTATATATACGCAGGAAGGAGAAACGGGACAGTGGAAGAGTTTAGCTTACACAAAGGCCTCAAAGGCCCGGAAAGGACATTCAAGTTTCCCGCTGGTAGTGGAGCTGTTAGTGCCGTTAGAGCGATGCCTAATGGAAGGCATCTGATATGGTTTGTCTCCGCTAAACTGGGTTGGTTTTTATTGCTAATTGATTCCAGCGCGTCTCATGATATTTTGAGATTGTACGACTTAAAGCAAACAGAAGCGGTCAAGCATTCTACAGTTCCGTTCCTAATTGTTCCTGGGCCCCCAAGGGCAGGCGTTATTAGCGCACTGCACATAGACCCTACATGTAGGTATATGCTGTCTACCGCTGGAAACAGAGGGTGGGACGGGAGTTCTACGGAGGTGTTAATAGGCTACGAAATCGGCATTGTCCGTTGATCTTCTGACGTCGGAATTGTTTGGTTGTCAACAGGCCCTAAGCTCTTCTGAGGAAGATCGTGGACATTGAAGAGGGCATTACCGCGCGGGAGTTATTCGAAAAAGGGGGGCATGATGGAGTAGGGGTATGCATCTGCGGCATTTTGAGCGGTCATCGTACGGTCCAATAGTCAACTGGCTACCTTGGGAGGCTGTTGATGGTGTTAAGTGCGTTCGAGTAGTCCCCAGGAACATCTGGGGACCTGGGTTGCTGCTTATTTTTGGCCTTGGCCCCAGTCATGTTCATACTACGGGGTAGAGTTAAATATATCTGAACATAGAGGCACGATTGGGGAGAGAGTAATTAGTCAGTTGTGTATAAGTAGGATACCCAGAACGTCACAGTACGTTCTTATATTACCCATGTTCATGAGAGCCTTCCTATTTAATCTAGATTATCATTTTATTCGAGATGAATGTGCTGAATTATTCGTTTTGTGCCCAAACTTGTGCCGCCTAAAAGTCCGAAGGAGGACTGAGGATAGTAGCAGTGATTCAAACAAAGAGTTTCAGTTACTAAAAGTTATTGTTGTCACATTAGTTACTCAAGAACATCGATAGAGAGAGAAATACTATTAGCTTAAATTACTGGTATTGATCCTCAGCTATGGACAGATTCCCCTGCAGACTTTTGGAAGGCTCGAGTACTTGGCTATTTATTATATCTTGATACGACTCCTTGTCGCCGAGGCTCGCCACCCCACTCTCTCCCCCACTACCCCAACATACACCCCGCATTTTGATGCCACGGCCCCATGTCACATGTCCACATCATATAATTCATCTCTATATTCTAAGATGGCACGTTTACTATTCTTAGTTCTAACCTTGCAAATATTATTATTCGCTGCTCAAATTCAAACGATTGGCTCGTTCGTTTTCACATGCACTAGCTCATTACAACTTTCTCTTTCCGCTAGTTGATCTAGGGGTTGTGTTTCTTAAGCCACAGTACACCAAGGATGCATGCATGATTGTCCATGTGCACGATATCAAACTGTATCGTTTCCTTGTGTCCGTATAGCATGACCATTTCTAATGGGACCGTCTTATAGGTCACCATTCCGTTGTTAGTTGAGATGGGCTCTCTATTTACAACCATTAATGGGTATGGGTCGGTCTTTGGTTGCATTCTGAAACCGTATGTGTCTGCTACTTTCTTTGTCATAAAGTTGCCCGTTGCTCCTAAGTCTATCATAGCTCGGAGGTGTTGCTGTTGTATCTTAGACTACATCGTCAGAATGCATGGCATTAAAATGGACCAAGCAAAGGTCACAGCAGTGTTGGAATGGCCAACACCAACCATGGTTAAAGAAGTACAAGCCTTCTTAGGTTTCGCCAACTTCTACCGAAGGTTTATTAAGGGATATTCCAAAGTCGCTCAACCACTTACGGAGCTTACAAGGAAAGACCTCACATTCGAATGGACAGACAAGGCAGAAGCTACTTTCCAAGAACTCAAGATGAATTCCAAGAACTCAAGATGAAGTTCACAGAAGCACCTATCTTAGCCACATTCAACCCTGCAAAGAAGATAGTCCAAGAGACAGACTCTTCTGATTTCACGATTAGAGCATGTCTAAGTCAACTAGACAAAGACGGAAAGCTCAAGCCAGTCGCATATTACTCTAGAAAACTTTAACCTACGGAGCTCAACTATGACATCCATCACAAGGAGCTAATAGCTATTGTCATTGCTTTTGAGCAGTAGCAAGTATATCTTAAGGGATCAACCTACCCTGTGTAGGTATGGACTGATCATAAGAATCTCATATACTTCACCACAACCAAGGTTTTAAACCGCAGACAAGTCCGATGGGCAAAAACACTCGTAGCCTAGAACTTCACGATTACATATCACAAGGGCTCTGAGAATGCAAGAGCAGACACTCTTAGCAGAAGGACCGACTACATCAGCCCTAAAGAAGAAAGACCTAGAGCCATATTGAAGAAAACAGACGTAGGAATGCAATACAACAAGTTGCTAGCCACAATTGCCACTGTAGAGAACTCGGAGTTGGAAGAAAGACTCAAGAAAGCTTATGCAACAGCCGAATGTGCAAAGCGAATCTTAATAAAAACCGAATGCAACTTCGCCATTGATGAACAAGGATTGATCCGATTCAAAGGATTAGTGTATGTCCTAAGCAAAATCAGACGCCTGCTAGTGCAAGAACAACACTCACTACTAGCACACAGCCATTAGGGAGTAACACGCACCTTCGAATGAAACACCTGACACTACTACTTCCTAGGTATGAGGAAGCAGGTGGAAACAGTAGTAAGAGAGTGCGACATTTTAGCAAATCAAAATCCAACAGGCACTTGCCATATGGACAGCTGAAGTCGACTCTAGTACTAACAGGAGTAAGTATGGAAATCTATAGCTTTAGACTTCATTGTCAAGCTACCACCCTCTTGGGACCCATTAACAGGAGTAGTATTTGACGCTATCCTGGTTATTACAGAAAGACTCAAGAAATATAGAACGTTTGTGCCATATCTAGAAGCTAGCGATACTAAAGCACTCGCATACACCTTCGGCCGCAAGCTGGAGGGCCTCCAACTCGGCGCCAAGCTGGGCAGCAGCCTACCCAACCATTAGTACAAACAAACAATGAGGAGGGAGTCCCTTACTGGAACGCACGCGTGGTTGCCCCGAAGGCAGTCTGCGCACTTGGCCATGCCGGAAGGGACCCAGCACATCTGGCCTGGGAAGTTGTAATACGTGTGCGCACACTTCATGCAGCACGGGCGGGAGCCAGCGCGAAGGCGTCCTGCAGAATCAGGAACCTCACAGCGGGCAGCGACCTTCCACCCAAGCACGGTGCGCTCATCCTTTGGAGCCTCAGACTCAGGAACGATGGAGCCTTCGAGATCCTCAGCTTCGTCCTCGACTTCAGGCGAACGATACGGACGGATAGTGCGAGAACGTGATGTGGAGGAGGCGACAACAGATGGAACAGGCGTGGCGGGCGCCTGCGACTCGGGAGAGCTGGACATCTGGGCCGCTGGTCGCTTGCGAGGTGTAGTAACTGGAGCCTTCCCCTTCGGCTTGGGAGCCATGATGAGGGTTGGACGATGTGAGATCTATCCGTAACAATAAGCTCCTGCAATCCAGGTGGAAAGGAAGTGATTACCTTAAAGAAACAAGCAACTGTGTAGGCCCCAAATATTGGGACTAAGATCGAGGGCGAAAGGCGAGGTAAGGTGATGTTGAGGATGAAGGTGGCAGGAAGTTCGATAGGAAGTTTGGAAGGAAGTAGGAGTTTGGCGCGAGACCCATAACAAAGGGGGTGGCCGCGGCAACCCACAACCAAGGGGGGTCACAGGACCAGCACACCAAGCGCACACCCAAACAAGTCCACCACCCGGGTCAAAACAAAAAGTCTAAACAAGCCAGGAGGGCAAGTAAGCCCTAGCTGCGAAACCTTGGAATTGAGGGCAATCCCTCTAAGAGGGGAGGTAATTGTAAGGAAGGCCATCACGTGCCACCACGTGAGGTCCCTTTCATAAGCGGCCCATAGGGCTCGGTAAAATAGGGCACAAGGTGCATAGATAAAAGGGGTTGGAGGCCTCGGAAGAAGGCCTCCAGTCAATAGTCGATGTATCTACGTAGACCTATTGTGCTTACAGAATACGATACCTTCCTGCCTCCTGACCTGGTTCCCTGGACTCCCGTGAGACCCTTAGGCTTACGATCCTTACAATTCTCCTTTAAGTCATATTAGCCAATTACGGATTACCGGAAGAAATCATCTCAGACAGAGACAGGCTTTTTACTTCGAAATTTTAGAAATCTTTAATGGCGCTTTGGGGAACAAATCATAAGCTATCAACAGCTTTACATCCCTAAACAGACAGTCAATCAGAAAGACTAAATCAAACCCTTGAACAATACTTACAGAGTTATGTCAACTACTAACAGGACAATTGGGTTCAGATATTACCCATCACACAGTTCGCATATAACAGCACCATGACCGAAGCAACGAAAGTCTCACCGTTCTTTTCCAATTATGGCTATTAACTAGAGGCATATAGACAACCACGACCGGATGAATCAAGAGCAGAACAAGCTATAATCGCCGTGGAACAACTCAAATCGTTCCACGAACAACTTGTGACAGACATCCAATTCTTAAATGAACGATCTGCCGTGTATGCAACAAGAAGCGCAGTATAGAACCTGCCTTTAAGGAGGGGGATAAAGTATATCTACTCTAGAAACACATCAAAACGAAATGACCAAGTACAAAGTTGGACTTCAAGAAATTAGGACCATTCAAAATATTGAACAAAGTCAGCTTAGTTAACTACAGACTGCAGCTACCTAAGAAGTCTAGACACCTGGTATTTCATGTCTCACTATTAGAACTAGCAAGAGGAAACACTGCAATTGTGACCAATACAGATCTCCAACCAGAAAATGAGATCACTAAATATGAAGTTGAAGCGATCCTAGACAAAAGGTTAGTAGGATGCAAGGAAGAGTTTTTGATAAAATGGAAAGGTTATGAACCTATGGACAATTAATGGGAAATGATAGCTGTCTAGAGTTGCTAGAGGCATTTCACCATCGACACCCTAACATTAAAAGAAGCTAGGAGACAGGACTGCGAAGAGATCCTAGTTAGGGGTGATGCCCACGGAGATGGTAGTAGGAGGACTGTGCAAGGAAGGCCCTTTGGTCTCTACCTCCCTACGCTCCCTCTCCTCTGCCTCATCTAGCTCATGAAGGGACTTTAGACCACAACGGAGCATCTCTTCTCCTCGACTTTTCAATAAATGTTGTTGCTTAGAAACACGGAGCTGCCTTGCCAGTCTTCAAAAGAAGGACCAGTAGCGTCACACTTGATGTTTGATTTAATACACTTAGCGCATCGCCTAGAGTCGCTAGACATGATACACTTCGTTCAATGACATTCACATTGAGTACACAGGGACATTTCGACCCCGTTAGCAGCGACACAAAGGGCAAGAAGATGACGTTCTTTGAGTTTCGTATGTTTAGAAGAAGACATGGTCACAGCCTAACCTGCGCACGGAACGGGTGGACATTACTCTACTTAAGTACTTAGCGTTTTCCTTAGTTAACCACAGGCCTCAGGACTAGGCCTTAGAGGGGGGACCTAGTGTTATGGCTATCGGCAGAGCTATTAGCCGAGTGGGTCACAAGATAGGACCCCATGACACCCTACAGGATGGAACTATGAGAACTGTTAGAACTCATACAGTTCCTACAGTTCCTACAGTTCCTACAGTGCTGAGTGGGTCACGCCATAGGACCCCATGACACCCTACAGGATGGAACTGTGAGAACTGTTAGAACTTATACAGTTCCTACAGTTCCTACAGTTCTTATAAGAGGGAAAGCATTTCAACTATGGTGGGATGATTACAGCATCCTCTTCGGACAGGTCGGTTCTATCAGCCTCGAGACAAAACCACTGCTAACATAGTCTCTGTAGGTATTCTCCTTTATCTTGGCTATTACAGAAATTGAGGCGGTCGTTAATGGCTACGGCGAGCATTCGAAAGACCTTGGTCCGGACCAGGCAGCCGTTGCTCCCTTCCTCGCCTGGAAATAGCGAGACCCCCTAATAAGCCAGCTAGGCAGAGATGGCCACCTCGTTTCAAAGTCGCTAGTGAGTCTAGCAAAACACTATTTCCCACGAGCTTCAACATCTATGCTCGTCTCAGGCAATCTCTTCAACAGTTCCGGGCCTTCTAGCTCGACACGCTTTACGCCCAGTACCAGTAGCATTGGGGCTCGATCAAGGTTTCGAGTTGTGGCAATGACTTTCGCCCCAGCGTTTACTGCCAAGTTGATTGCGGCCTGACCGAAAGAGGATATTCCGCCACGCACAAGCAGGGTCTAGCCACGTGAGAGCTCCAGATTTCGAAATAAAACATGCCCAGGCAGTTGCGTATATTCAGGAATTGCTGCAAGGTCTTCCCAGATCAACGAACTGTCGATAGATGCAACGTTGCCAGCCCGCACACGGGTGTACTCGGCGTAGCTTCCGGGGATAGTTCTTCCCATTCCTCCCATGTAGAGCCCTAAGGGTCTAGGGGGAAAAGTTGTGAGCAATTTGTCAATTTGAGAAAATAGTTGTAGGTCACCGTCACCCCCACTACTGTAGTTACGCCATTGGTGTAGTTACGCCACGTTAGTCCTCGCGAAATAGGACACTTACGCCACTAGAACACATACGCCACCCACGACTTACGTTAGTTAACTTATGTACAATACAGACCCTCAGAATTTTGAGTGGCAAGGTGCGATCGACCTAGTTACCGAACCTGTCCAACGTCAAATCCAAATCACATTTACTTGTCTAACCTTATCGCTATGAAAATTTGGTTCGACGTATACGTGGCATATTGATATTGATCTACACATGATTACTAAATGCAGTCGTCATCGGATTGAGGTAAATATTTCTTATATACGTTGCCAGGGCGTGAGGCATTTTGGCCCGCTCCCGTCACCATGGAACGCAACAAGAACACGATTACACAGCCCTCCTTTCTACAGAGGAGTCTAATCCAATAGCCACATCTGGCTTGTGGTAGATTCAAGCTGAGACTTTACGTGGATTTTTAACATCGGGGCATTTATTATGATTCTTTACTAAGGATACAAGACTGTCGTTGAATACGCCTCATACATGAGCCATGATAAAGGCAGCCCGCAGTCGCTATCAACCAATCCGTTAACATCGTCTTCGCCTTTCTTCAGAATTGGTCCACTCTCCCTGAGAAGATAACTTACCCCCTTTGACAATTGTTGTCTACCATGGATTCGAGCGACCAACAACGATCGAGCTCAGAAGATCTAGAAGCAGCAGATCACGACATACCAAAATGCATCACCTTTGGCCCAGAGGGACAACGCGCGCGATCGAAAAACAGACGTGGGAGTCTGCGCCGCTCAATCAGCCGTGACTCAATCTCAAGTGTCCGGGACCGCGCTCGAGCAGTTCAAGGTGTCCCTATTGAATTCCGAACACTATCCTTCCAGGTCTCGGAATCTCAGGCAATAGGAGAGGCTGCATCCAGTAAGAAGTTATTAGAGGCACTCAAGAAAAAGAAGAAAGGCGAGGAGATAGAAGAGAAGGACTACTTCGAACACTTGGACTACCACAAACGCAACGGCGATGATGTGTGCAACGCCCTCAATGTCCATTGTGACAAAGGCCTCAGAGCTTCTGAGGCAGCAACTCGACTCTCACAGAATGGAAAGAACGCATTCCCCCATCGACGTGAGAATTACGTCAAAAAGATACTTTTCTATATCTTCGGCGGCTTCTGTTCTGTGCTGTGGATTGGCGTCATCGTTTTCTTCATTTGTTGGCGGCCGCTGGGTAATCCGAACCCAGCTCCCTACAATATCGGGTTAGCAATCCTCATAATGATTGTGATCTTCCTTCAAGCCTCCTTCTCCGCTTTTCAAGACTGGTCGACCGCAAAGACAATGAAATCAATTCTCAGCCTCCTCCCTGGAGACACTTTGGCCATGCGCGATGGGCAACCCATGAAGGTTGCCTCTGTAGATGTGGTTGTCGGAGACATCATTAAGATCAGCATCGGCAACAAAGTTCCCGCCGACATACGTCTCCTGAGCACATCCGGTGATGTGCGTTTTGATCGCTCAATGTTAACGGGAGAGTCGGATGAAATCGAAGGAGCCATCGATATGACAGACACAAACTTCCTTGAAACTCGAAACGTGGCATTGATGGGTACAATGGTCACTAATGGCAGCGCAACAGGCGTTGTTGTTCTCACTGGAGGCAATGCTGTCATGGGACGAATCGCAAAGGCCACAAACGCTGTGAAAGACGAACCGACTCTTATCCAACGCGAGATCCACCGCTTCGTCCTGATAATTGTAGCCTTTACTGTTGTTCTGGCAACCGCTATAATCTTGACTTGGGTGGGTTGGTTACGAGTAAAGCATGCTGCCTTTATGGGCCTCATCAGCATGCTTAACAACGCCATGGGCTGTGTTGTAGCTTTTATTCCAGAAGGAATGCCAGTCGGGGTCGCTCTCACCATGATGATTATTGCTCGAAGGATGAAGAGCTGCGATATCCTCCCCAAAGGGCTATCAACTGTGGAGACTCTCGGCTGCGTTAATGTCATGTGTTCTGACAAAACGGGCACTTTGACCGAGAATAAAATGGTCGTGGCAACCGTGGGGCTCTTAGATGGTCGTATGACTGCCGGCGAGGCATTTTCTGTGCTTTCGGAGGGAATGTCGGCCCCGCTGAAGGAGCTCCATCGTGCTTCGGCTCTCTGTAACGACGCGACTTTCGATCCCCTGACAAAGAATCAGCCAGTTATGGACCGAGCTACTCAGGGCAATGCTACCGATGGAGCGGTTCTGAAATTCGCAGAAGCAGCACGGAAAGGGTTCATTGAATCTATCAACGACGAGAACCCGAGAGTTTTCCAAATACCATTTAACTCGAAAAGTAAATGGATGCTTACGCTGCACAAGACCGATTCGACGGGAGCCGAATCACAATTTCTCATGTTGATGAAAGGAGCCCCGGACGTCCTCCAGCCTCACTGCACAAGTTACTGGTCTTCTGAAAGCAAGACCATCAAGCCATTTGACCAAGCGTCCCAAGCTCAGTTTCTAGTGCTCCAGGAGAATCTTTCACGAAGTGGGCAGCGTGTGATATTGCTATGCCAGCGTAACATCACCCCTGGCGAAACTCTTGGATCCAACGCCTTTATGAACGAAATCCAAGACAGCTGCATCAACGATCTTACCATAATTGGTGTTCTTGGAATAACCGACCCACCCCGCAAAGAGACAGCCGTAACGGTAGCAGCGTGTCGTCGTGCGGGTATACGGTTTTTTATGGTAACAGGTGACTTTGGCCTGACTGCTTCTGCGATTGCCCGCGACATTGGTATATTCACAAATGCGGCTGATCCTGATACCTTTTATAATCTCGCCAATCGGAGTACTGATATGGTGGAGAACCGACAGTCCGAAGACCGGACCAAAACTAGTCTGCTCCTTGAAGGGCCCTCGATAGCGAAACTGAGCGGAGAGGATTGGGATTTAGTATGCAAGTACGAAGAAATTGTTTTCGCGCGCACAAGCCCCGAGCAGAAGCTTCGCATCGTGAAAGAGTTCAGAAAGCGGGATAATATTGTCGCAGTTACTGGCGATGGTGTCAACGATGCACCTGCTCTGAGAGCTGCTGACGTTGGAATTGCGGTGGTAACCGGCAGCGACGTCGCCCTCGAAGCAGCCGATCTTGTACTCCTCGACAAGTTCGATTCGATAGTCGATGCCATTCGCCTTGGGCGCCTGGTATTCCAAAACTTGCAAAAGATTATCAGTTACCTCCTGCCCGCAGGTTCTTGGTCTGAGATCTGGCCAGTACTGATGAATGTCTACTTCGGGTTTCCTCTCCCACTCTCGACATTCCTCATGATTATTATCTGTGTCTTCACGGATCTCTTCCTTTCGCTTGCTCTCATCATGGAAAAGGAGGAATTCGACTTGCTTAAGCTTCCACCTCGGAAGGCCAAGAAAGGTCACTTAATCAACGTCAAGATATACATCCAAAGCTACCTCTTCATAGGTGTCATGGAGACGGTTTGCGCGCACAGCATGTTTTTCTTATACATGTATAAACATGCAGGAATTCCCTTTCATTCGCTCGCCCTGGCCTTTGAAAGCTATTCCGATGGCTTCCATGGCTATACCAACGACGAACTGATACACTTCAACAGTGTCGGACAAAGCGTGTACTTCGTTACGCTAGTCATATTGCAATGGGGCAATATTCTTAGCATCCGCAACAAGCGGCTCTCAATCCTTCAAGCAGATCCTATTCGAAAGAAGAGAAGAAACCCTTGGCTGCTGGCAGGTATGGCTATGAGCTTGGCCATTGCAATATTTGTAACAGAAGACCCAGGAATTCGAAGAATCTTTGGGACGGCAAGGGTACCACTCGAGTTCTGGTTCATCCCTCTGCCCTTGGCTCTAGGAATCCTCATGATGGACGAAATCAGGAAACTTATAGTAAGAAGTTGGCCAAAGGGATTTTTGGCAAGGATAGCTTGGTAAAATAACTGTGTTCTGAATGTACGGAGGATAGGATCTGACGGGCCAATCTGCACGGGGTGGGATTAAAAAGAATATAAAAACAAATAATACATTTACCTTCAAATATGCAGCCCAAACTCATACTTAATAGGCTCAGTCACGCCTATGCCTATGAGCTGAAATATAGGAATTACAAGTACGAGTATTGTGCACCAGCTCCGTAGGCGCCGGTTTGTGACTCTGCCTGTTATAATATACAGGGGCTACAGTAAGCGACCACAGGTAGAACCACAGAAAAACTCTGCCCTTACGGCTGGAGGCCTCGAAGGGAGAAGAAAATTTACTCAACACTGCCTGCCGTAAGTGGTCATGTGTTTAAACCCGTAAACATATCAGAACGTACTGTAGGTGGCCCGACCTTTCCCCCAACCTCTGGTGATCTGCTCCACAACCGCCAAAACCTCGGCTGACCCCCCCACAAATAAATCTTCAACTTCCGACCTTCGACCTTCCGTCAACAACAGCACCAACTTTCCTCCGCCACCACGATGGCGCCCATCAAGCTTGACGATAATGTATGAATACATTACCAATGGATTGATAATTCTACTAACAACCACAACAGGCGGCCTATAAGGCCTACAAACTCCTTACTGAACGCCCACTCGGAATGAAGCCTTTTCCCCAAGATGTAAGTTCAATTCCAGTTCAACTTCACTTTCAACTTCAAGCTGAGATTAATACATTACTAATACATTACTAATACATTATTAATGCATTAGGACAAAATATTCATACCTATTTGCTTGTTTTTGAATAGATTCAGCGATATTTTGTTGCCGTAGCTGAATAATCTTCTTCCAATCGTCATCACAGAGCTTTGTGTGGTGCATTTCTTGTAACTGTGGGTGAAGATATTCCACAATGCGTTATACCTGTGCAAATATAAGTCATCCTTTTACAATAAGCATTGTTAAGAACACTGCAGTGCGTTGGCTTTGGTGGCTGAAGTCGTTTATGGCAATATTGGACCTATAATGCATTAATAATGCATTAAGAACACATTACCAAAGAACACACATTATTACACATAGCATCAACTGCTTCTGGTGTGTTGTAGGAAGTATTGATGATATAGGCGACCCCATTTTCGGATGTTTCAGGGTATTCTGGTAAATCTGTTGTATAGTTTACCTTCATTACCTGGGTTGCTTTGTCGCTTAACATCGCTTGAAATAACTGTGGTTGTTTCGATCTTAATGCATTAGTAATGCATTAAGTATATATTAGGCAGCTCTTAGCTTCTCCTCCTCTTCTTCTTCTTCAGTGACAAGTCGTTCTTCTGGATATCTTTCATCCTCAAATTGAAGACAGACTACTATCAATACTAACAGTATTAGACCATAGGTCTAGTTGAGGTAGTGAAATTATCTCATTGTGAATAATGCATTAGCAATGAATTACTACTGTTGTTGTTGCCATGCCCTACAGGTTTTACGTTGGTAGGAAATTAGGGCCCTATTATATACCGTTTTTTGCCTTACCTGACCATATCATGTGATGCTACGCGAGCTTAGCTGACCCATGTGCAAGGTTTAGTCATAAAAGTGGAGCATTTTTGGGTCAGCTGAGCTAACCCCTGATGGTCTGCTCACCTGTGTACTCTAAACATATTACAAATGAAATCCAAACAAATATAGGCTTAGCGCGGAGAAAACTCTACGCGCTAAGCATATAGAAGTAGGAAATGGGGCTAGAACCTAATGTAGCCAATCACGAATTTTGCACTTTTATAGCCAATCAATTGTACAGGGGTTTGACATAATGTCATGGGCAAAAACTCGATATACCCAGTAAACTGGTAAGAAAACTCCATCTACTCGTGCGGCCCAAAAGTTTCCACAGGGTCTGTGTATAATAAGTGGGGCATGTAAGTACTTGGAGAAAATGCATGTACATACTCTACTCGTACTAACTGTGGGGGGAAGCAAGTGCGTCCACTCGCGTACAAGAGGAAGCAAGTGCGTCCTCTAAACTTGCATATCTTCACCGCTACTCTTTACCAAAACCTCGAACATTCCTACACATAGTAATTTATATAGTAATCAAATGTAATTCATTTAATGGAAGGGACACCTCTATCAAATGCCTGTGAATGGCTGGCAGCAAACCCCTCTGAATCTGTAGGTGCTGCCAGTCCGATTATTAAGGTCCCAAAGTCGACTATACAGTCAAGAATCACCCGAGCAGTCCCACGGAAGCTGGCCCATGGAGGTCACAATAGGGTGCTTTCTATAGACCAAACGGAGGCCCTAAAGGCCTGGATTCTAGAGCAGTATTACCTAGGGTTAGGGGCTAATAGGCATATAGTTTACGGGGCAGTATGCCACCTACGGAGCCCACTGCCTCCACCGTCACAGAGCTGGCTCACTAAATATATACGGAATGAGCTTATGGATTTCCACTTTATCACTACAAAGCCTATTGCGCAACAGCGTACGCAAGCTCAAGAGGAACCTGCTATTGTTAAGTGGTTTGAAAGGTACACGGAATTTGTACTACAGCATGGTATAAATTCAGAGTCAATCTGGAATATGGATGAAACTGGATTTAGGGTTGGAATTCCAGGGGTGAGAGAGTTATGGTCCCCTGAGCCGTAAAGCAGCTCTATACTCCGAGCCCTGAGAATAGTATATCTATTACGATTAGAGGCAGTATCTGCAGCTGGACAGAAGATTGCACCTGTACTTGTTGTACCGGGTAAAATCCATATGGCAGCATGGTACCCTGAAAACCTCAGTGGAAATGAGCTGATATTGCTCTTGGAGACTGGCTATTCTAATAGCCAGCTTGCTCTACGGTGGTTACAGCACTTCATAGAGCTTACTGCTCCACACAACCCAGGAAATCCCAATGTTCTACTACTTGATTCTCATGTGAGCCACACGAGCCCTGAGTTCGTCATTATGGCAGCCGAATATCACATCATCTTATGGGCGTTTCCCAGCCACCTTACACACGTTTTACAGCCATTAGATGTGGGAATATTCCAGCCTTATAAGCACTGGCATAGGCAGGCTGTGCTCCGTGCTATACGGGAAGTGGACATCACCTATAACCTACCCCAATTTATGAGACATCTCCCACAATGCGGGAGCAGACTTTTAAGGAATCTACCATACAATCAGCGTTCCGGAAAGCTGGAATCTGGCCTATAAGCTGTAATACAGCCCTTGAGAAGCTGCATACATACTCGCAGCCTACGCAGCCTACAGAGCCTACAACGCCTACCCTACCACAGCCTATTACCCCTATTCCCTCCACTTTCCAGGGCGTAGAACAGGGCCTACAGCAGTGGAAGGAGTGGGTTCTGGAGGCCTTTAGTAGCCCCTCAAGGCAGAGCTACAGCAACTGGCTTACTGGGGCAGCCCAGGTTCTGGCTGCCGGCCAGCTCCAGGAACTCGACCTATGGGCTGTTCGGCAGCAGGTCAAGGACTCGAAGAAGAAGCGGGGGGGCCGGGACTGACTCCAGTGTGGAGGTGAGCTCCGGGCTTCTGAAGCCCACGAGCTTCAGGCCGAGAAAGCTGAGCTTCAGACCCAGAAGCTCGCTGCCACAGAAGCTCGGAAACTGAGCCAGGCCCAAACCCGAGCCCAGAAGCAGCTCCGCCAGGCAGGAATCAAAGCCCGGAAACGGGAGCGCCTCCGGAAGAAGAGCATAGCTCAGCTCACTAAATCGGGCCTCCCAATTCCTCCGGAGTTGGAAGACCCTATTACTGACCCAGAAGCCGAATCTGGGAGCCAGTATGAGAGCGCAACTGAGGGTGGGAGTGGTCGTGGGAGTGAGAGTGAGCGTGAGAATGAAGAAGTGATAATTTCGTAGAATTGGATTTTTAAGTACTTTTACATATAAATTACTATGGTTGGGTACTTACAGTCGCAATTTGAGAGGACGCACTTGCTTCCTCTCATAAGCGAGTGGACGCACTCGCTTCCCCCCACGGTTAATGAGTTCTTCACCTCCAATTCAATATACACATTGTGGTGCTTACCGGGAGGCAACGCTTTTTCGGAACAAATCGCCTTAGTCGCCGGTACGCAACGTGCACTTTATGCTCTACTTCACAGACGTCTCGCTAGAGTGTACATGCCTGTAATAGAGAATTACCACTTACTGTATATTGTCTATCTCTCTTACAGCCAGTAATTAATAGCTAACTAGCCTACATAGTCTCTTGCAGACACTTTACAGACTGTTACAGACGCTCTACCAAGCCTTCCGTAACACTTTAGATGGGCGGCGCCAGCTATTAAAAGTCCACGTTACATGTGCTTCTTATATGCCATTACATTATGTTCTCTTTATATTTGGTGAATACGGGTGGCATTAGGGTCTTACTTTATGGGAGAATAACGGTCCACAGCAGAACCAGAGGTTAGAGCAAAGGCCGTTCTACCACTACTATATGCACACCTGTAAAGAGTGGTTTAATACTATTCACTATGCAGGATGACTATTCTAGCAATTTGCGGTTGACATATTAGTGATTTGTGAGTCTACGGCCCTAAGTTGGCTCTATAACAATTAGAAATCCATCCTTGCAGAAGTCTATAATGGTCTTACGGATGCTATATCACATGATGATGTTAATATGGCAGATTTGGGTTGCCGTATAGTATTGCCTTCAAGCTATATTAGTAGTGACCGTGTAATTGTAATGGTGGGTGCACCAGATGTGAGAATCTAGCCACCCAAGGAAGGGATGATTTTACTAAGACAACACACTGTCTTAGGAAACAGAGCCAAAGGGTCATATGTAAGGATTCCTTCTCGTCTCTCATTCTAGGGAGTAGACTCTGGGTAGCTGCGGGGTCACGTGTGATCATTTGGGTGGGCTAACCGAGTCGGAACCGAGTCGGATGGGTTTCGGGTACTTGAGACAATCGACTCACGGGGTTCCCCTTCATCTTTTTTGTATCCTTCGTAGTAGACCTATAGGATAGCATCCGTTTAGCCTCCGACT